TAACCATAAAAATGGGATAAGATATGTGTCTGTGTCTGTTTTACTAATATAAGCACAAGACTGGAGGCCATGAACTTAGAACCTGGCATCTCAGTTCTGGCAGCAGCCCTATTCAGGAAAACCACCATGTCTCCAATCCATGCCCAGCCCAATCCATGGCTAGCCCAATGCTGGTCGCACAGAAAAAATATCTGACAGATGAAAGAATTCACCAAACTCATGGTGCTGGGGTGAGAATTACTTAGTCCAAAGTACCATGAAGATGACACTGAGTGGAGACAGTGTCATGGAGTAATTAAGATGGTGGCCACCAGAGTCACCTGACTGGTGCCAATTTCCTGGTCAGTAAAACAGAAGGATATTGTGAAAATTAAATAAGATAATTGACAAAGAAGCTTAGAACATCACCTGCCTGACATGCAGCAGCATGTGATAAATGCTATTAATATTATTAAAATTCAATTGCATTATCACCATAAATAGCAATATGTCACATATTCCCATATCCTAAAACCATAAATGTGAATGAGAGTTCCCCCAACTACAGATATGATCCAAACTCAATCAACCCATCAACAAGTATTTAATGAGTGCCTATGATTCGCTACTCAACATTTCTAGACTCCTGATGGCCAGCTCTCCTTATATGAAAGAAGTCACGGGAGTCTTTTTTAATGTAGGCAAATTGATTTTATATAACAAAACAGTAGTGAACTCACTGACTTAGATGTATTTATTTGAAAACTGGGAAAGCAACCTATGACCCACCTTTGAACTGATTTTTAGAATCTCCTCTCTACCCTGTACTCTAGGCTCTGAAGTCAGGTGCTACTCAAGCAGGGAGGAGAAAAAAGCAGAGGCCCCAGAGCCGTGGCCTGAAGACCAGGCCCAAACCCACACAACTCTTTTTCAGTACCTCTGGCCTGGTCTGCCTTGGCTTCCGAACCTGCCTCTTCTTGTTTTGTTCTGTTTTTGTTTTTGTGCCGACCAGGAATCGAACCAGTGAGTCTGCCTCTTCTTGCCCACCCTTGACCTACTTTCTCCCGGTGCCAAAGGCCACCCACCTCCTTGTATACACCTTCTGACTCTCAGGCTTTGAGTTGATCACAGATAATCATCTGGCTCCTTACTAGCCTGAGTGCCTGACCAGCCATGACCCCAAATTTTTAAAGGCACCAAATTGGCCATTTTTACATATATCATGTCATCTTCACAATGTGCCTGTTATGAGCCTAACATGTAGCTATTACAATCTTTACTTTATAGACTAGGAACGAGTTTCTACACCTCAGTTAAATAATTTGCCTCTGAATGGAATCAGACATGCAAATCAGACCAGCTCAGGCACCAAATACTAGAAATGACCTGATAGCAACCGTTAGTAGTATAATAATGACTATAACTAGCCCTAACTATGAAAGAAGAAAATTTTCAGGAGCCATGACCAATTGATTAAGAACTTAGAAGAACAGATTTCTATCCATCATAAATGCCCTAAGAGCTTAATCATAAAATTCACCTAAATAACAACAGCAGCAGCACAGAGGTAAATCATTTCCTAAAATCAAACAGTTGCCAAGGGGTAGGCCAAGGATTTGGACCCACATTACCAAGTTATCCTGTTGAAGACCCAAGAGCCAGTGCACAATTCATATGGGAAGAACAAGCGTTTCAAGTTAAAATTAAAAAAAGAAAAGAAACCTCTAATTTCTCATTCTTAGTTCCCAGTATATATCTTACTTTGCAGTACACCATACAATAGACACTTTTGTTCAGCTCAGCAGGGCTATTTATATGTTGTAACTCTCAGTGCTTTTGGGACGGCGTTCTTCCTTCTCTGAAATCTAAAGATGGTCCCGTAAGAAAATTTCAGGGATAAGCTCACTCTGTTTCAGTTCAACAACTAGACACATCAGGGCCACCACCTCTGGGAACACAGAGCCCACCTCCACTGGGAAAACTAAGTAAGTGAAGCTGCTTCGTCTCTTCCTGGCAAGGCTGCCTTGTGACCATGACAGAAAGAGAGGGCACAGACTCACAGAAACCCATCCTGGAGATAAGCAAAGCTGCCGAGGACAGGCCAGGTTGCGGTGCCCCGTCTGTGCCAGGAAGGAACAGATCTTTCGGAGACTGTTCTCTGACACTGCTGAGGGAGTGGGTGGCAATATTGAGTCTAAACGGAGCACGTCTCCATACCGCCACGCAGCTCCTTACACTTCCCCAGGAAAACAAACTGCTTCACACATGCATCAATTTCTGAGTTGAAATATAAAACGGGAAGAGTAATTTTTTAATTACGGAGGCAGCTATGGCAGTTGGAGCGGCAGCTGAGGGGCGATGCTAGCAACCTGGGTAGCATGTCACTGCAACCTTGCAACCCCTGGGAACTGGCTGTCTTTGGAGGTGGGTACCCCCCGGATGGAGGCCACCTTGAGAAGAGGGGCTCAGGTGGGCCACAAGGGATCCCGGATTTCGTTTCAGTTTGGCTAAATAATAATAGTAGTTATGGTGAACATTTGTTAAATGCTTACCATATGCCAAACATATGCTAAACACTTTACCTGAATGATCTCATTTAATTCTCATAATCACCCTATAAGGTAGGTGGATACTATTACAGCTGACATTTTACCAGTAAGGTAACAAGGGCTAACGGGGTGAAATGGCTCTTTCAGGGCTCCCGTGTATTACAAGAGCAAAAGTGAAGTAGCTCTGGAATGCCAAAGTGACAGTGTAGGGGTAGCACTCATGTTCAAACAGCAGCACTGTGTGAGATGCCAGGATGGACATTTAGTAGTTCTGTGACCTTGGGCATGCCACTTAACCTCTCTTTGGCTCAGTTCACTTCTCTGGAAAATGAGGGTGATGGTAATAGTACCGCTGCTCTGAGGTGCTGAGAGGATTAAATGAGATAATATAAAAACTCAGAGTCCTGTGTATTAGTAAAAGAACTACATAAGTATTAGCTGCTGCTACTTTATTATTATCTCTAAGGAACATGTTTTACCTAAAAGGCAACTTAATCTGGCTCCAATGCTACTTTCCCTAAGGCACCTTTGCTGTCTGCTGAGAGGTAGTTGCTCCCTTTCTGTGTTCTCCAATGCTCCGCTTACATATTGTTAGAGCTCTTGGCAGACTGAATTGTAGGTAATTCACTTACAATAAGTAATTTACATCTATGTCTCTTCCACTGACTGGACTGTTTAATGGAGACGACTGTTTCTTACCACAGCTCTACTCCCTCTGCCATCCCTGAGCTACCACTGTTACTAATTAGCAGAAGCAACAGTAACAATAGTATAGTTAACATCTGATATTACATTTAATGTTTACAATAATTTACAATGCAGAAACTATTCTGAATCCTACTTTACAGACGAGGAAACTGAGGTGTAGAGTGGTTAAGTCACCTGCTTCAGTTCACACAGCTAGTCAATGGTGGAGCCAAGATACAAATACAGGCAGACTAAAGATCTATAGCTTTGTCCTCCCCGAAACAATGTGCTGTACCCACTGTCAACGGAAAACCAAAGGCATTAGTCTAACAAGGCATTTTATAATAAACTAGAGGCCCAGTGCATGAAATTCATGCACTTGGGGGGGGGAGTCCCTCAGCCTGGCCTGCCCCTTCTCACAGTCCAGGAGCCCTCAGGGGATGTCCTACTGATGGCTTAGGCCCGCAGTCCGGCCTCCCTCTGTGGGAGGCGACTGGCCGATCAGGGGAAGGCGATGCCCCCATCACACCTCAGCTGCTGCCACTGCTGGCCATGAGGCTGCCTGAGCCTTGGCCATCGCACCCACTGCGGCTTGCCTGAGCCTTGCCTGGCCCTCATTGCCTGAGCCACGGGCCCCATCAGTGGCTGGCCAGAGCCCCGGGCCGGCCCTGGGCAAGCGGCAGCGGCCATCGGGAGCATTCACAGCCACCGCCATGTGGGGAGTATAGGCCACCCTCCGCCAGGCCCCGCCTCTCCACCCCCATCCCCGACGCTACAAGTCCCTGCCCACACCTGCTGCGCATACAGCCTGATATGTTGCTACGTGACGACATCCCTACCAATTTGCAAATTACCCTATTATTAGATAGAAGTTTTCTGAGTATACATAATAAAACAGAGGATTCTTCAGTAAAGTTTAAGGAAAATAAAACATTTCATTCCCAATTAGCTTAGTACAGTACAAAAAGTATAAAACAGAGTCCCACAATTCCTGTCATTGTGGGACTGAAAACAGGTATAAAATGAGTAATCAAATAAATTAAGATCATTTCAGATTGGTAAAAGTACTATCCTATCTAATAACAGACAAACAGGGTAATTGACCGTACCTTCGCTATGCCTCCCATTGGCTAATCAGTGCGATATGCAAATTAACTGCCAACAAAGATGGCATCTAATTTGCATACTGCAGGCAGGTAGGGCCAGCGAGAGCTGCCATCCAGCCCCATGTGCTGCCTAAACCCCACCCCCAGCCGGGACCCCTGTGTGGGACTCTGGGCTGCGGGGCTTGGAGGCGAGATTGGACTGAGGAAGCCCTATTCTTGCAGGAATATTCCTGCAATGGACTTCTAGTGTGAGTATAAATACGAAGGCCAATTTTAGATAGGATGCTCCTCTACAGAGATATCATTTGAACTGGAAGCTGAAGGGTGAGGATTTTGGCAGCTTATTAGGAAGGGCAGCCACAGGCAGGGCAGGGGAAAATGCATTCTAAGCAGTCAACAAGTAGCAAAAGAGTTGGCAGGTTCCAAAAATCAAAGGAGCCAGTAAGGCATCCAGGGAGTCAGTGGTATGAAGTGAGCTTGGAGAGCGAGAGAGACTGTGCAGTATCTGTAAGCCATGGCAACAAGTGTGGATTTTATTCTAAGTCCATGGGTTTTTAAGCAGAAGAGTGTTAAAATTAACTCTTTAAACAGCAGTCTGCCAAGAAGGCACAGGAATAAAAGAAGGGGAAACACTCAGAACTATGAAGGAGTTGGAGTAAGGATGATGGTGGCTTGAACTAGAGATATTACCTTTTTTCCCTTTTGATGGACAAATTTCCACACAAACACTGGAGTTGTGTCCTATATTCATTCTATTTGTTCATTCAAATTCAACTTGGAGTGTCTTTAGAGCCCAAAGGGAACTTACCTTCTTTAATGCTCCACTGCACATATGTGGAAACTGAGGCACAGAGAGCCTATCTGACTTGCTAATGTCACACAAGTAACTTAGAGCAGACTCCAAAGTCAGCTGTCAGGGGCAAAGGCAAACTAAAGCACGCACACTTTCCTGTTCCTCATAAGCTGCCAGAATTCTGAATTGTAAATAAAAGCCTCCTTGAAGTATTTGAATCTCACGTTAATTCTCGTGTCAACATTAAGCAGCCCAGCACCCAGCTCACAGACGCAGACGGAGCCCACAGGGTTAAATAAAATGGAAATAAAGTCCAGTCAGAGACCAGTGGGGTATGCCTGGGAAAACTCATAAAAGTAATTTTAAACTCCTCTGTGTTCTTTCCGTTGCTTCCTTCGGGTGTATGTGCAAATTATATCTTACTCTCTCGGTTGCATTTTGCCTTTTCCTCCCTTTTCCCAAAGAAAACTCCCCAAAGAGACAATGCTTTTTTTTTAAAAAAAAAAAAAAGGTGGGGGGGGGGCGGTGAAAAGGGGGGAGAGGGAGCCAGTATGAAGTTCCTCTGAGCTCCTCCTCCCTCTGAGCACGGCTCCTATCACACAATAATGTGTTATTTTGTTGAATTTTGGCATCCATCTAGCTTGTTTGGTCAGAAGCCAAAAAATTAGAGTGTGTCGGTCCACCAGTTTCTCAGCAGAGAAGCTCCCTTCTCACCCAGCGAACGCGGCGCCCCTGGCCTGCGGCCAGGAAGGGAAATCCATTTTACATGAAGGAGGCGCGCAGCCCGCGCTGGAGCCGCGCTACCTACTAAAATAGCTCCGTGGCCCGGCGCCAGGCGGCCAGGCCCGTCCTGCAGGAGCACTTGGCGTGCGACGCAAGGTGAAGGGCTCTGGGAAGGTGGCCGCTTCTGAGGAACAAGGCAAGGGCTGTGCGTGCCCTCGTGGCGTGTCACGTGGCCGCCCGGCCCGCGCTGATTGGCTGCGGCCGAGTAAATACAGCCGCCATGTAAGGAGCTGGACATCGTCGCCCTTCGCTGGCTCCTTAAAATGGCGGCCCGGGCCCCGCACGGGGAGAAGCCGGCGGAGGCCCTCTCTCAGGGTCCCCACCCCCGCCCTGAAGGTTTTTGTTTTTGTTTTTTTCAATAAAACCTTACGGATCTGAGTAGAAACAGATTTCTCCCAACGTGCTTCTCGGGCTCAATTTCACAGTTCGGCATACACTCGGGCTCTGTCAAAAGCTTGACACTGTTCCAGGGGAAATATTAACTGTAAACTTTCTGAGAGGAATTCAAGGAGCAGGCAGCAGCGTCGGGACGCCCTCCCTCTGGGAAAGCACATCCCCAGTGTGGGCCTGCGCAGGTTCTGGAAAAGCAGCGCAGCAGCCCCAGCTCCAGGGACCTCCTGGAGGGTCCCACTTCACAGTCACACAGGGGGAAGGGGAACAAAAAGAAAAGAGAACATAAAGGACACATCCTCTTCTGCTACAAGGCACGGAGGTCTCTCCCTCGCAGGCCTGACCAGTGGAACGCTGCACACTCTGATGTATAAATATTTGCCTCTGGCTAAAGTTCAAGCGGCCCTGCCTGGCTGCCAGACACAACAGAAAGCCATCATCCCAGGGAAAGTGTTTACTGCAGCGGTGGCCAAGGGTGGCTGCCAGCAAGAGGGCGTCTCTGATTGGCCGGCCAGCCTGCCTGTCACCCTAAAGCACCTGGCCACTGTCCATTGGCCACCAGCCCCTGGGCTGCTCCCACCTCTCAGGGATGGCTACCTCTTCCATGCACAGCCGGGCGCAGCTACTACAAGACCAACAGATGTGCGGATGGTTTTACCTGCGATCCTCAGGGCAGGGGGCCTGACCGAGCCAAGCCAGCTGGGTATCTGCAATGTGTCTTCTCCTTGAAACTACCTAGGAAGGGCCTGTGACCGTTTCACACACACCAACACCACCAGCATTTCTCAAATTGGGTGTTCCCTGCACACCTCCAATGCTCATCCCTATGTATTCCACAATTAAATTCCTCAATCGTCATCACTTGATGATTTTAAGCAACTTTGAAATTCCTGGGAGATAATAAGTTAGGAGAGACCTCTGCTCCATAGCTGAAATTGGCTATCTACACTAATAAAAGACAAAGATGATAATTGACCGTACCTTTGCTACACCCATCAGCCAATCAGAAGAGTATGCAAATCAACCCAACAAGGATGGCTGTTAAATTTGCATACTGCAGGCAGGGCGGGACAGCGCCATCTGCCGCCTGCCCCGCCGCCATCTGGGGTGACGGGGTGGGACAGTAGCAATCCGCCGCCCGCCCGGCCGCCATCCGGCCCTCCCGTATGTGACCTGGGGCGGCCGGGCGGGACAGCAGTGGAGACAGGAGGAAGCCAGGCACTGGAGACAGGAGGGAGACAGGCAGCAGTGACAGGAGGAATCGAGGCTTCGCTCCAGCTTCAGGAAACCCTATTCTTGCAGGAATAGGCCTGAGGAAGCCCTATTCTTACAGGAATCTCCCTGCAACGGGCCTCTAGTCCTGTATAATAAAAGCCTAATATGCAAATAGTTCAACGGGGAGTTCTACCAGGAGTTCAATTGCTCACTATGATGTGCGCTGACCATCAGGCGGCGGCAGTGGTGCTGGCAGTGCGTGGCAGTGGAGGCGCTGCTGGCCCAAGTGGGCCCGAAAAGAGCAGGACCACAGTGGGATGTTGGAGCAGGTGAGCAGGTGGTACCAGGCCAAGGCGGGTGCAAGTGAGGGCCCAATCGCCCTGACCAATCACCCCGCAGACAGCAACCAGCGGCTGGCAGGCCATGATTGCCCAATCGGGGCCGGGCCCTGGGTTGGGATAGGGAACTGGGGGTGGGTGGCAGTGACCAACCTCCCGTGGCACCTGGGCAAGGGGCTGCGACTGCTCCCTGGCTACCTGGGGGCAGGGGTGACGGGATCAAAGGTGCGGTGAGAATGCAGGGTGTCTGCCGAGCTTGCTCTCACTCCCCATGCTACCTTCCCCAAGGACGCCAAGGCTCACGCTGGGGAAACCCTGGCACTCAGGTGCCAGGCGCTCGCGAGGAGCCCGCCCCACATCCACAAGGCCTCTTCAGGTGATCCGGGCCGCAGCCGCCAGGACCACAGGGACCAGTCGGGCTCCCTGTGGGTTCACGCAGGAGCCGGTCTGCCAGGCTGGCCAGGAGAGAGCGCGCTGCCCACCTGGCTACTGTGTGGCACTGCTGGGCAGCCCAGAGGCCCATGCTGCGCTCTGGCCCGCAGTGTCTGGCGCATCTCTGCATGGGGGCTCAGGTGCCATGACTCAGGCAAAGGGGGGTGTGTGGGGTCTAGGGGCCCAGGTGCTGCCTAGGGCCTAGAGGTCATCTGCGGCCTGCCCTTCCACGCCAGACACTCGCACTTTGATCGCTGCGAGGCACAGAGACCATATCCGTGCATGAATTTCATGCACCGGGCCTCTAGTCTATATAAAAGGCTAATATGCTAAGTGTCCGACTGTCCAACTGGTCACTATGATGTGCACTGACCACCAGGAGGCAGACGCTCAACGCAGGAACTGCTGTGATGCACACTGGCCATTTACAGAGTAACGGCATCATGGACCTGGCACCCACAAAGCAACACTCAGCTTCCTCCAAGTGGGACACAGGCCCCGCCACCACCCCGGATCGACAGCCCACCAAATCACAGATGACACTGCTGAGATCCCATGGCGCAATATGCGGCCGAGCCCGGAAACTGTGGCTGTGGGGGGCGGGTAATGATGTCACGTAGCAACACCCGGCTTCCTCTCCTTAGCAACTATCCTCCTTGGAGTTTCTTCAGCCCAGGAACACGACTTGCTTTATAGCCAGTTGGAAACACTTTACACTGTAACCGAATATCTGTGAAGCATTTTCCCGTGCCTCATCTCATTTGATCCTCACAGAAGTCCTGGAGTAGGTAGATAGGAGACACTGGGCTGGAAAATGTTTAGCTACATCAGAAAGCAGGTCTAATTAAGCAAGTTTATTCTATATCTATAAAAGGCTAAGTTGACTTGCGTACGTGTGATACATATAAAGCTCTGACTGGCGCCAATTGCACACGTGTTTCGATCTGTCATTGTCGATCGTGACTTTGGTTGACACTTCTGTTATAGAGAAAGGGCGAATAGTGATATTAAAATATTTCTTCTAATTAATTTCCTTTCAATGTGCTCAAATCCATGCACCAGGCCACTAGTTTTAAATAAAGCAAACGGTCCTTCCAATGCTCTCTCCAAAACCCAAAATATACATTGTACTGTTTCACAGGCGCTACAGTTCCAAAGCAGATAGAAATAAAAGAAGCTTCCCAGGAAAAGATTAAGATCTCTAATTGAGATCTAAGAATTGAATGAGAAAATGACCTTAAAGTCTTTTCAGAAAGTTATGAAGTCGTAGTTTATGCTAAGCATGTAGCTAGCAGGGCCAACTTTTTCCATGGTATTCAGTATTCAGGGAAGTTTGAATACAATCAAGACAAGTCATAATATTTTAAAATCATTGTCACCCATATAACATTTCTATCTTCATAAACATTAATGCATGAATCAAACTTGTCCTTAAGATTGCAAACGAAATGTTCCTATTTAGTTGAACTGAAAGTTATACAGAACATGGGACAGGAAAATCAAGAAATATACAGCTAAGAACTTCTTTCAAGTAAAATATTTGATATTAAGGAACAATAATTTAGGTAGAGCAAACCAAGCTGTTATTTCATCTGTTTAAAATAAAATACACATTTGCTGAATTAAAACATTTGCCTGTTTGTTAAAAATAAAGATTTATATCTGTACACAATTCGGATCTCTAACTGAAAATTCTTCAGGGTCCTGAATCTTGGCTAATTTTAGGCTTAAAGAAATTTCTAAATTTGAATTTGGTGCAAAACTAAAATAATGTACCAAATAATTCCATTTTCAATTGTCTGAAACTTTGACTAATTCCTAACCAAATGTGTCACTAAGGTTGATCTGTGTTCAACCTCAGGATTTATAGTATCAAGTTTGGCTTCCAGGAGATCGCAGCGAATCATGGGCAAGCAGATCACAGAGGAATGTTCTGTTCCCAGCTGTGAACAAGACAGAATTAACTCTGAGACACTTCCTCCTGCTGCCCGGGTGGACAAAAAGGTCAAGATGGTTAGCTCTTGTAGTCTCAGTACCAACCGTCAAAACAACAGGCATGTTAAAAATAGATCGTCTATAGGCCACCAAGATACAAATGCAGAAAGAATTTAAAATAAAAATAGTT